GCAGGTAGCAGCACACAAAGATCAACTATTCATAAGTTTGCCAAGATGCTTTGTTGGCATATAGTTCAATCAATTAAAGTTGGGGTACCTTTTTATATATAATACATGCTAAAAGTGAAATCAGTCAAATTTGTTTTCTGTTTATTTTATCAGAAAACATGTTAGTGGTTAGAATTGTCTTGTATGGCAGGCTTATGTATTGAATGTGCAATTTAATGGTCGACAAGGTATGTTGTCAGAGCCGCAATCCTCTTGTCTGAAATTAAATAAATGCAGTTGGCTAATTAATTCAATGAAGAGAAACATACTATTTTATTGAGCTTGTAAAATAATGTTATTGCACAATATTTTGTGGCTAGTTCATATACAAGGCAACTCAAACTTTGTTTGTTTTGTTTATTTTTTCTGTAAATAGCGACAACCATATGTTTAAGGACTTAATGGGGGGTGGGAGTTAATAAGCTTGTCTTCATCCCACTCCCTTCCTAGCTGTTTTCTTTCTTTCTCTTCTTTGTGGACACGTTGTAGTGTTAATATTGTATAGCATCATGATGTATAGGGGGCGACAGTAGCTCAGTTGGTAGAGCATTGGCCTTTAGGCCTGAAGGTCGTGGGTTCGTTTCCCACCTCGACATCTTCTCCACCGACTCCCACTGATGACTGCTATCGTTGTGTCCTTGGGCAAGACACAACCCCACTTTGCCCAAAGCCCCCGCCGAAAGATCTCAGCTCCTGTGGACTCACCACCTGCAGAAGGATCAGTGAGGGGCTGGTGCTATGTGTACTGGGTGCAGCTATGACTGCCACCCCCCCGACCCAGAAATGGATTGAGGGGAAGAAGATGGATGAATGGATGCATCATAATGTATTTCTATTTTTCTTGTGTTGTATTGTACCGGCTTGGAATAAACTAAACTAAACTAAAGAAAATAAATGATCATACAAGACACTCAAATGTTCATATTTAAGATTACAATGTATCTACAATGAAATAATGATTCATTTCAGGGCATACATATGATATATATTGTATGTATATCCATTACTATATATTAGGATCCATCTCGGCAAGTATGAGAACCAGTACTGGACCTGGTATCGGTATCGTCGCTGAATATCTATTAAAAATCTACTTAGAAGATTAGTTTCATTGTATAAATTAGTTTGGAATCAATTGTAATATCAATTACAATCAGGGAAATACCGTATGAGAACCCTCTCCTGCATTACTTTATCCCTCAGGACCCCCTCGAAAAGAGAGGATTCATCTCAAGGGGCCATCCATAATAAATAAATAAATCCAGTGACAGCAAAGTAAAGGCCAAAAATATATCTTTGTAAGTCCTGCAAGATATTACTTCAACCTCTTCTCAGCTTGTGACATTCTATGCCGCAAAAAGCTCAGAAACTTGTTGCCTTGCAGGGCACAGTCACTTCACCTCTTGCTAAAGTCTCACTTGTCGGAGAGGAGAGGACTTGCAGCAAACTATCTGATGCAGAGCAATGGAGTGTGAAATACATTCTGGTACATGGCGTCTGGGCTAGATTTGCTTGTTAGATTTTCAGATTTGGATGTCACCCAGCACAAGGCACCATCTTCTTGCCTGGATCCAATGCGGTCTAGACAGTGTTTGGCTCCGGGAAAAGACACGGGCAAGTCACCACAGTCTGTCGATGCGAGAGCAGCCAACATGACAGCTACAGCAGGGAAGGTAGAGACAGAATAGCTACTTGGGGGAAAGAGAATATCACAAAATAATAGCAAGGACTCATTGATAAAGAGAGCAGTCCTCCGCAGGTGATGGCAGCATTTCAAAGAAGTGCAGTAAGTCTGACATGGATTTTGTGGAAGATTTCCTCAGATACAAATGTCAACTCTGTCTTGAATATTTTACCCTTTGTCAGAAACTGAAAATTGAGACTTTTACTTTGTTCTTCTGCAAAAGTCGAACCGACTTTATTAAAGCGATCAATCAAACGTGGCAGCAGCATCAAGAGGACAATTTCCTTTGGCAGCAGCTTGGAGCACTCTGCCAAATCATGTACGATATCAGAGGACCTTTCGGAAGGTTTGAGAAGTTTGGTTTTGGTTGAGAAACGCGATTTTTAAGTCCAATATATCAGAAAAGCGTGATAGGTGATGGAGTTAGAGTTGTAAGATTTTTGCAAGATGAAAGCAGTATTTTTAAATCAGGTAGGGTATAATATCTAACCCAGGCAACTTTTTTGGTTTATTTTATTTTTTATTTTCATTTTATTTTAATGCATGTTAGCAATACTTTTTTTTATTATTATTTGGAAACTATGATGGGCAAGAGTGTACTTGTGCCTTATGTGAAATGCCTGAAATGAATAAATAAACAAACAAACCAAATAACAGTTGGTCTTTTAATAGTTCTGATATAGTAGATAAAACCAGAGATGAAAATAAGTCTGTGATTCGTCGAAGTCTAAGTCTCTGCCCAGAAGTCCAAGTAAAGTTCAAGTCTCTATACCAGCAAGTCCAAGTCTACGTTCAGGTTCAAGTCAAGTCCAGGTCTCATAGTTTTATACAGATTAAAATTACGGCGCTATACAACATCAACATCTCTAACGGATGATTTGAAAATAATATTATATCTGTAGCTGGAAAGACAGTGTAAGGAGTTTTGAAATCGGCAGCAAGCATAGTGGAATTGGTGATATGTCTCTCTCATTCAAATACAAGCCGTTCATTTAATAAAATTGTCAAATATCATAAAAAACTTAAAGCTGGAGTACCTAAAACCAACATTTAATGTATTATTGTCCCAACAGAGAGTCTTGTTTGAGTAATATTTTGTGTACATGTTGTCTTCCTCTTATTTGAAAACACGTAATATTTCACATACTTTACATACATTAGAGTTGAGTGAGGGCTGAGTGGGGGCTGGTAAACTAGTGATAGAAGCACTTTTTCAGAATCTGAGTGTTAGGTCACCCTCAAAGAAGGATAGTATGTAGAATGAGTGCTCAACTTTATTGTTTCCAAAAACGAACACTTTTTACTGAAGAAAAAGCCCTGGGACTGCCCTGTGCTGATTAGAGGGAACATTCTGTGCGTCACATGTAGAGTGTCCATTAAAGTCTAATGATCGTGATGGTGGCTACATGACAGGCTGAGCACGAGTGATTCCCAGCTCGACTTCATATGTAAATACAAAGTCACCTTAGGATGTACTTCCTGCGGCAGCTCAGGAAAGCCAAGCTGCCTGCACAGATGTTGGTGCAGTTCTACACGGCCATCATCGAGTCCATCCTCACCTCCTCCATCACCGTGTGGTTCGCTGGAGCCACAGTCAGGGACAAACAGAGACTACAGCGCATTGTGCGCTCTGCAGAGGAAGTGATCGGCCGCAGCCTTCCATCGCTGCAGGACCTGTACGTCGCCCGAGCTCGAGGCCGGGCTGGTCGTATCACAGCCGACCCCTCTCACCCTGCACATGGACTATTCCAACCACTCCCCTCAGGCAGGAGGCTGCGGTCCATCAGGACTAGAACCTCCCGCCACAAGAACAGTTTCTTCCCCTCTGCTGTTGGACTCTTGAACACTTCTTAACCTGTCCCCCCGCCCTTTATAAAGTCACTTTACTGCCCATCATACGTCACTTTACTTCACTGTACTGCTGTCACCTTACATTGTGTGCACCATGTGCACTTGTATATTGTAAATAGTAACTGTAACTCTATTTTAAATTTAAATTTATTCTTTAGAAGTGTTTTTTATTCTTATTTTTATTATCTCTTTTTGACTGTTGCACTGAGCCAAAGCAATTTCCAAGTCTGTGACCTCCCGTTACTTACGTTGGCAATAAAAATGATTCTGATTCTGATTCTGATTCTGATTTTTATTCATAGTCTAATGAGCGAAGACCGAGAATACAAAACACACTGCTTTATTGTATTCAATAGTCAAATATGCATGCTGAGATAGCATCGGTGTTTCAACAATTCACTCCTTATGCTAATTGTGCCTGTGCTTAGAATGTGGACAGAAGAATTCTTTGGAGATTTTTATATTGTCTCTCAACAACCATACACATGCACAAACAAAACCATCCGTGCACCAATAAATCTTCAATGCATGTGAAGAATCTTAGTCCTATCCTTGGTCTCGTATCAAGAATGCATGCTTAAAGATCCTCAATCTTTACTTGTTTGGATATATCTTTAAGGTTTTACTATTAGGCAGTACAACATTAAGACACTGGATCTGCAATACACTGGGGAATAGTGTGTTTAAATAATTAGTTCTCAAAAGCCACAACAGCACAGAAAACAGTTTAACAAAATAATGTCAAAACCAGAACAATGCCACTGACTAGTTGTTACTCTAAAAAAAACATTCCAAAAATATTTGAAACATGATGATTTTTTAAAAAATCCATCGCTCTATCAGCTTCTATGGTGGCAATTTGTAATCATTACTTTTATAATGACTTACAACAAAGGGAGCGTTTTGGTATAAAAGTCTAGAATGTGATACAAGAATTTTGAGTTTATATCATCAAGTTAGAAGAATGAATGAATAAGGTTATAAGGTAACCTTGTCAGGGGTTGACGCCATTGTCATGTTAGTAAATGTGCTTGGTGAAGTACATTTTTCTGTAGTCAGCAATGGTATACCAGTGGAAACGTTTTTATGTTAAATGATTAACCATTGTGTCAACAATAGAATGGTTTGGAGCATATGGAATCTTCGATGCATGATTATGTATGTGTTTCTGTTGTTCAATAAAAAGACTGTGGCAAAGTCGGAGCTCCAGAAGCTGCACAACTTTAGGGCCAGAGAAGCTTTGCTTCTGCCCTCTAGCTTTCCAGACTCTCCTTGCGTCACAACTAATCGTTTGCGGTGTTTTTCCTGGTAAAACATTTGTTAGAACATGGCTTTAACAGAAGGATTAACAAGAGTCATATAACACAACACATCTTCTTCAATGCCAGTCCAACAGAAGAACACGTCATGAGAGCAGGGTCAGTACCTGAGACAGCCCGAAGTGTTCTTGAAGACCGTAGTCCACTCTGCGTCTCGAGGCTTGGAGTCTTCATTGGGCTCGTTTTCCCAGCCCGAGTGAGGGATGATCACCTCGTTGGTCAAAGTCTGCAGGCCGTGGTTTATGATCACCATCTTCAGAGGCTCGTACGACGACAGGTTCCACAAGGTTCCTTTGCACAAAGAGAAATAGCACAAACATCAACATCCATCCATCCATCCATCCATCCATTTTCTTCCCCTTAATCCATTTCTGGGTCGGGGGGGGGTGGCAGTCAGAGCTGCACCCAGTCCACAGAGCACCAGCCCCTCACTGATCCTCCTGCAGGTGGTGAGTCCACAGGAGCTGAGATCTTTCAGTTGGGGCTTCAGGCAAAGTAGGGTTAAGTGTCTTGCCCAAGGACACAACAACAGCAGTCATCACAAACATCAACATTAGAGACGTAAATACAGGTATATTTCTTATTTACTCTTACTAGTGTATGAGTAGGATGGATGGATGGATGGATGGATGGAGAGTATGAAAAGTCCTTAAAGCAGTAAACTTTGAAAACATAACTGTGGCAAAGGGAGATTTTATAAAGTGCTTTTTTAGTCATCGAAGACGCAAGGCATTAAACATTCACTTAAAACATACACACTCGTGGTGTACTACTGCAACCATAGCTGCCCTGGGGTAGACTGATAGAAGAAAGGCAGTACCACACAATGTGGCTTAAGTGACTTCCCCAAGGACAGAACAACAGTTTGGCACTAACCCTGCAGCCACACTATCATGGCACCTGATGTTCCCAGAGGTCTCCCATCACACAATAACCAGGTCCTGCCCTGTTTAGCTTCTAAGATCAGGCTGTCACATGCAGGTGGCGCCCCCAATAACGATGTATTACCAGCCACGGTGCGACAACATCTCTGTAGCCATATAATACAAATACTCCCACATGAGACATGTATCTTGAACATAACAGCTACACACTCATCTTTACATCAGCAACAATATGGCAATTTTCAGCTCTAAAAGTGATCTTAGTTAATGATGCTTTAATGGTAACACAACAGGTGATGCAGCAGGGAGAACGTATCTGGCAGCTCATATGGGGAATACATGATATGGAACAGAGTGCAATACGTTTTTACTTTTTCACTTACAACTAAAATCTGGAAAAACTTAAATAATGTGTATTATGGTAATTTTACCTTAACATCTTCTTGAGATTGTCCCCACTGTGGGACGAATAAAGGATCTCTTAATCCATTAATTTATTTAATCACTTTTCACAAAGAAAAAAAAAATGATATTGTTGTGTTGGTCCATGCTTTGATGGAGCTCATCTTAGCACTGTGCAGAGCTCCAAACAGACACAACACAAACTTTTGACATGTTTAAGCCTTGAATACTTGCTATCATGGTTTTCAGTTCTCCGACTGACTTTTATCCTGCTGTTATTGCCTTCTTCGTGTCCTTGCTCCTCTTCAGAACCACTTAAAACAGGTGATTTGTCTGGGACACAAACTCTGGGCATATATAAATGTCCTGATCTACTCATAACACACCGAGCCATTCCCCATGTCCCACGATAACGGGCCATAAACGCTGCACTGAAACTGTCACACTCCCTCAGCCTGTAAAATAGTTCTGTACATTTTCCAGACACATTCACTATTTCCGTCGTTGAATGAGGCTCACCACGTATACGAGCAAATGTCATCTGGAGGGACTGTCCCAGACTAAAAATACATGTCCTTCTCAAAAGTCAGCATTAATCAGACCAATTCATGCAAGGTTGCTGGAAAGAAAGTAAACTGAAGTACTTTTGAGATAGTCAATGTTGTCAACATCAAGGAACTGGCACAGAAGTATACATTATAGTAGTATAGTATAGTCAGAATTGTATTGTGAAATGTTTTTTAAAGCCTTTTTATACCTGTAATGTGTATTGTATGTGTGCACATGTGATAAATGTAAATATTTTCTAAAGACTAAAGATTTTGTACTTTGTCCCCGTTTAAAATAAACACTAAATAAACAAAGTCTGAATCCGATCAATATGCAACATGTAGTAGCAGCAGCAGCAGCAGCAGCAGCAGCAGCAGCAGCAGCATTAGTAGTATTGTAGTAGTAGCAGCAGTGGCAGTAGTGGTAGTAGTAGTAGTAGTAATAGTAGCAGCAGGAGCAGTAGTAAAGTAGTAGTAGTAGTAGCAGCAGTAGCAGTGGTGGCAGTATTTATAGTAATAGCAGCAGTAGCAGAAGTAAGTGTGAAATCCAGATCCAGACCTCTGAAGCTAGTAGGGCAGGGCCTGGTTAGTACTGTGATGGGAGACCTCTGGAAACACCACGTGCTACAGTGGAGCGGCTGCGGCTGTAAAGTGCTAAACTCTTGTTGTGTCCTTAGGCAAGACACTTCCTCCACATTGCCTTGAATGAGTGTGGTGTGTGTCTGAATGGCTGGTGGCACAGATTGGTTGTCTCGCTTCTGTCAGTGTGCCCCAGGGCAGCTGTGGTTACAGTAGTAGTTTGTCATCACTGTGTATGGAGTGAATGAATAGTGACATGTGAAGAGTCTTTGAAAAGCGCTATGTAAAACCAATGCATTATTATTATTATTAAGTAACTATAAGATGATATTTCCACCTAAAGCCAGTAAGAATTGTCGTTTCCCTCAGGTTTGTAATGTAACTAATTCAAAAGCAAATCTCAGCTGAAAACTGTATGGGTGACGATACTGACAGTGTGACAGAACTTTCATATTGGCAGACACGTGGGCAAAATGATCAGGTTGTTGGTTTTCATCAGAGCAGAGGATGTTTGAAGTTTATCTTTGCCTATGGCGCATATTAATATGGTATTTACAGAGGCGTATAGAGGCAGGGAAATGGATATTGACTAAACAAGCAAACCATGGGCAATCTATGAAAACATTCATCTTCTTCCTGGGAAAACTGCCAGACGGTTATTATCACTATGAGGTATAGTTACACCTTTCCTCACAGTCTCTGGTTTAGGTTCTATGGCATATACAGTATATTACATATGACATAATATTATGATAGAATAGTTGAAGGTTTTTGTGATATGCAGCCTAGGACTGAGAAATCTCCCAATACTATTAGTGCCAGTATTTAGCATTTGTGATTATCAGGCATTTTTATCACTTTTTTAAGAACAAAGCTCTTACTCCAGAACCTCAATCAAGCGACATGTGGCTAAAGCTCAGAGTCTGAACAGCGTGCTAGACCGAAGTGGGCACTTAAAGCTGTGGGGGCCTCCCATTTATATTCTAAAGGTAAAAACATATAACAACAAAATCGACTTTAACAGCTTTTCACAGATTCTGATTATATCATAGTAGTTTTCTCGAGTCATTCACACACTAAAAAGTGTTAATTGAATTATTTGCATGAGTTATACACCGGTTTGTGACGTGATCATTTCTTAAGATGAAAACAAATGTCTTCCTGAAGACGGAGTAGAGCTGTCAGGAGTGAGTCCATGTATCTCAACAAATTGGTTATTGAAATAGTTGTCAACTAATGTAGTGTTAGATTAACCCATTGAGGCGGGAAACGCATTCCCGCGTTTCTACCTTTCAGGCCGGGAGCGCTGTTGCGCACTTCTACCTTTAAGGCCGGTAATGCGGACACGTCTTTTTTCTTTTTTTGACCTATTCTCTTCTTTGATCAATTCTCTGGACCAATGAAATGCATCAAGATATACCAGGGAGGAGAATTAACTGCGGATCCACGAATTCCACCTTTTTCGCGCTGAAAATATCATTTCTGTGAAATGTGTGACTGCGGGCTGTTTGCGTTACAGTATGTACTTGAACGGGATTAACATCCTCTGCTCAGACCTCGGGAGGAACTGTGCCCGCTTTGACCACAGCTCAGCGAATGCGTAGCTGTAATGTGGTCACGTACCGAGCGCGGAGTGCGGACAGAACCATAGACGTGCGATCAGGACCATCCCCAGCTTGTTGCATGTGCGGGTCTTGCCTGTCTCCCCGTCTCCCCCGTCTCTTTCCCATCTCCCCCCCATGTCTCTCCCACGTCTCCCCCAAGTCTCATCACAAAGTGCAGCCAAAACTCACTGAATTAAAGCTTGCTTGCATTGACAATGCATGTTATTTGTGCACAAAAGTAAAATGTTGTGAACATATCAAACAATACAAACCACAACAGTCGTGCTTTTTTATATTACTTACTTAAAGAGCCCCTGTGAGTCATTATTTGAGAGTGGATTTTGAAATATTTTTTTCCATACAGTTAGTGCCACTTTATTGCCAAACTCTTTTTGACTGATGATTAGGAAACATGTGTTAGTCTCACATTATTTTTGTTTGTTTTATCATCTTTCCTGTGTGGAAGTTGTATATTTTTTGTATTATTCTACTGAAGGTTTATAATAAAGCCAATTGAAAGCCACAGTGTCAGCACTCATATCCTTTTGAAATTATGTTTCTATCTGCTACAGAGGCCGTGATATCACTCATTTAGTAGACGTTGAATTTCAGGAAAACTTCAGGTTTTGGAGGTGGTTCTAAAGTCGGCCTAAGGTTTTACAGGTCTGTTTTACCAGCTGTGTCAGGCCTTAATGGGTTAATCGTTTCGGAACCTTACATTAACCAGAGAAGAGCTTCTATCTCTATAACCCTTATTGTCAAAGTAATCGTCCAGCACAAGACCTACTTCACGACTGCTGTCGTTGTGTCCTTGGGCAAGACACTTAACCCCACTTTGCCTGAAGCCCCCGCTGAAAGATCTTAGCTCCTGTGGACTCACCACCTGCAGGAGGATCAGTGAGGGGCTGGTGCTCTGTGTACTGGGTGCAGCTCTGACTGCCACCCAACCCCCACCCCCACCCCCGATCGTTAATTACAGCTCTATTATGAACAGCTCCACAGTCAGAAATCCTTTTCAAGTGAAAGTTTGTTTTTGTTTTTTTCATTTATGCAGGGTTCGTTGAAAGTGCATCCGGAAGAGGAAGTTGGAGAATCTTGGCATGAATCACATTAACAGCGAGAGGGTTAATGTCGTTGCTATCGGTGACAGTTATCTAACAGTCATACCTGGCCCGCAGCAGACAGCAGGATCCCCTCGACTGATGTGATATTAACATATGTTTTACCTCTGACAAGAAACAACCAGCGGGCAGTGGAACCAGTTAGCAACCAAG